AAGTTGCTTAGTTTTTGGTATATATTTTTTTCTAATCACACCTGCTTCAAATAATAACTTTTTCCTTTAAATATAAGTTTTTATTTGTATTTATTTGAAAGGGCACTAGCACAAAAAGTATATTACCAATATTAAGCTACATATAAAGTTGAAAAAATAACGTAACGTACAAGTTTAAACAAAAAAAAAACAACAATGCATTTTTTTTTTGTCATATTCTTCGGATGTGCTCCATCTAATAATCAGCCTCATTGCGAGAGTCGTGCCGAATGCAAGTCGTTTTTCGAGAGTCGAATCGTATCGAAAATTTAGCGTCATTGCCTAAACTTTCCACTCGACTAGTGTATTAAAACGGAAGAACTTGGCAGCACTGCATAGTTTTCGACAATTTTAGTCGTTTACTTATTTCAGCACGACAATGCTAATGTTGTCGAGTCGTACAATTCAGCCTAATTTACGACTTACGTAATGAGGGTGAATATTTCGCAGCAAAATGTTTAAAACAGCTGCTTTTCAAACGTCGAAAAGCACGGCAAAACACACCTTTTCTAATAAAAAAGCCCATTATTCAAAAAATGCACTCTAAACTCTAAATTGAAAATTTTTATTGCCCACAAAGCTTCAAGACCGCCAAATGAATTAAAGTGGAATATTATTACCCAAATTAGAGTCCATTTTGCAAATGAATTCTATTTTATTTAGCAAGCTATATGTTAGCTTTCTTTTTTTGTTAATCATACAAACATTCATTTCCATGATGTTTTATGAAGTATCTTTCGCACCCGAAGACATACATACCATTTCGAACTACAAAACTACTGACTACGAAAGCAATAAGTTTTAAAACTTTTAGTAAAAATGTCAGCTGATATCTCAATGGGAAAACTCTTTAGGAAAATAATGAGTATGTACTTTTTTACTCTGGAGAATTAGTTTAGTGAAGGGACAAAAAAATCGATTTATCGATACTCTAAAAAATGACTTGGCCAGCAAATAGTAGCTATCAGACCATAGTGCAGTGTTTTAATCTAGTAGTCAAAGTTCAAAAGGGGCATATTATATTTAAAAAAAAAAGTAATTTTAGTTTAGTTTTCCACCAATCGAGGGGATTTTTACGGAGATAAGCTCATTTGTCTTTAAGATAGGTCTTCAATTGAACTTTATGGTTCGATTATCGATAGCAATCAGCAATTCAGTTGCGTAGCTAGTTGCCAAAACGATATTACAGATGGCAACTGGCAACTTTCAACTAACAACTGACAACTGCAGTATGTGATTGCTGGGAATGTTTTTGTAGCGTATTTAGGAGCGAAAATTTGAAAAGTGTGTCATATATTTTATTTTTTAATAATTTGAACGATATTGACCGTTTGCAATGCAGTTTGCTTTTACAGAATATGGTGAAAATAACAAAACAAAACTTGAAATTTTAGTTCCCGTGGAGTACGCCCTTTTGGCGAAACAAAAGCGAACACTGATTGCAAATTCTTTTATTTATCACCTGAAGCACCTCTTTTAAAACTACCGACACACCAAGTTTTCCAAATTCAAGTCATTGCTGTGGCACTTCCTTCTGCGAAAAATTGAAGAGGTGCGCAAGCTTTTCTATGAGCGGAGGTATTGAAGTTGAACGAAGTGGTTAATTTGTTTATTAACCAATTATACTACAGCTTCTTTTGGAAGTCCTCAATATGCTTTGAAAATGAACACGAAACGAAAATAAAAGAAAAACCTTTGAAAGCATTAACTTTTGATTACAGTGCACGCGGTAGCTCTAGAGGATTGGAATTATCCTTTAAATGTCGCCTGATTGAGGCCGCGTTCATGCACTTCTCTTCTTCTTAAACAAAAAATTGTGACGAGTTTAGCTTTATTGCTATCTTTTCTTTAAAACTCTTTATTTTAATAATTTAATTTTACTCGCACAGCTTGTTTACAGCCGCTTGCTGGTTGTCGAACTGTCAAATTTCGATTATCGATAATTCTACAGCAACTGACGATAGTTGCCATTCGTAATACAAATTTTCTTTAGAGTTGCGTTGCCAGCTGGCAACCGAAGCGTGGTTGCGTTGCTATCCGTAATCGACTCTTTAATTTGACATTTTCTAATGTCTCCAAATTCTACATCCGATCCTTCGCTTTCACTGAAGGAATCTATAATTATTTCTAGGTTGCTTTTAAGACTTTGGGCAGTCCTTGTTGAAGGCCCATCAATTTGCCTGATATACCACTTAACCGTTTAGCGCCTGAAGCTAAAAGTCGGTTATTGTCCGCACCCTGGTTAGACAGACTTAGAGCCATTTCAACAATATTAGAGTGTACACATTCGCATTCGCAAAACATTCGTATTATTTGATGCGAATGTATAAAATGATGCGAATTATTCGCATAACGAATGCGAACGCAAATATTCGCAACATCCCTGCTCCAAACATCACGGAGAAATGCCGAGAGTGCTCGAAATATCCCAAATAACTTGAGAAATTTCGATAAAAAAATTTTGGAAACTATCCAATAAGGTCTCTCCCGAAAAGTCCCAAATGCGACATCACAGTTCGTAAAAATCTCGAAAATTTCAAAAAGCAAAACGCGAAACCTTTCGAATAATCGTGAAAACATCTATACAGATACAAAACTCCTTGAAAAAACTCAGAAAACCTCGAAAATATCTAGGAAGATCCGGAAAACTAGAGCACGAACCATCCTATATTCTAAGATATCCTCAAAAAAAAGAAAAAGAAAAAGTAATCGGAATTTTGAATACAAAATAATAAAGGTCCTAAGGAAATCCCATTGTACTAAGGCAGAGGAATCTAATGGTTTATTTAAAAAGAGCGGTACGACAATTTTTTCACTACATCTTTTTTTATTTCAAAGTCTAAAAAGAACTGGAAATTCCTTTAAATAGTATATTAAGTTGTTGCAAATGAAAATATTTAGATAAATGTTGATATTCAAATAGCTTTTCGACGCACATACATACATGCATGCAAATTAGCTTGATGAAACTTTATTCATCCACTAAAATAAGTTTTGACATTTTGTACAAGTGATCAGTTATTACCAGGAATCAATGCATACAGATCAACACTAGCTCCTTACATAAATACATACTATGTGCATATACATGCATACATAATTTATGTACATATTCATACATATATACAGTCTTTATTTCCAGTGATGCCAACAACTGCTATGTATTATATCAGCACCGCAATCAAAATATGTAGTAGTAATTCTTTAACTATTTACAGTATTTGCCGCTGCTTGGCTAGTTGCAAGTGGGTGTTGTAGTGGCACCTCGCTAACTACTGGAAAGAGGTCAGACACATTTGTTAATTCTTCAACACTCGTTACATGTGGCTTTAACGTGTCACTGGCATTTGACTTAGTGAGTTGATAATACGCCGTGTTGCTATGCGTTATATTGACTATGGTCCCGGTTAGTGGCAACGTTTGTAAAAGCTCCAATGGGCTGCTGAATGCGCCAATATTGACGGGCGCTATGCCGGTAAGTACTTGTCCGGAAATGTTCGTTTGGATCGGCAAAGGCACATCACCGAGGTTGATATGGCTCTGGTTGGAGTGTGCATCATAGAAGGTCAAATCCACGCGTTCTTGGCTAAAATTACAACACAAACGGAAATATGTAGATGTTCCGGTTCCAATTAAAAATGTGTGAATTTCTACCTTTCAAAACTGGTTTCATTATCGTCCGCTTCCGTTAAAATTCCAATTTCGTACACAACAGCCTTAACAACATAACTACACGATAGGATTTAAGCTAAAAATGATTCATTAAATTAGGCTATTTATTCAGTGCTTACAGATTCTTTGGTGTATCATTGACACTCGCTTGTAATTCCTCAATCGTTGAGTTGTCTATGCCTGACGAAGTATCCAATACTGGCAATGTCTCGGAGGCAGCAAATAGCGCAGCGAAAATAAGGAAAATTTGACATTTGTTTTTCACTGGCATTTTAAGTTTGACTTTGATTGTGAAATTTTATAATCCTAGCCTAATCCTTATTACTTTCCGTTACCTATTTGCAGTGAAATAGGTTTGTGGTTCTGCGTGTCCTCAGCCGCACTACTTTCCAGCAAATAACTTCGACAACTTAAAACTTGCTGCATAAATTACGTCGTTTTTATATCGAGCTCTCTTATCTGGAATTGATGTTTGTTTACATATATTTTAAGCTTTGAATTTTAGTTTAATTAACATGATCTGTTAATTGTCGATTCAGAGGTGTTAATTTGTAAGGTGGAGCAGAAGTAAGGAAAACATTATGGGCTCTAATTAATTTGGCGCGTTTCAATGCATGGAATCTAAATGTCAGACCCCCTAAATTACACATATCTGTGACTTGGCTATTAAGATTTTTTCGATATACGGACATTCGCACATATTTATGTACATATATATATATATATATATACCATCCCAGCAAACATTTGGAGTCATAAATGAGTCCTAATGTTGCTCATAATGCACCCAGAGTCTGCAATTTAGGTGTTTCCCTTCTGGTGAAGGTTGACTTATATGAGAGCTTAAATTCATAAATGAGCCTCAATATGAGTCATAATTATATGACTTATATAAGATGATTAACTTAATGTCAAAACCTTGTATTATATTTGTGTCTTGTACATGCTTCGATATTTCTTTTCTTTATTTTTTCTTTTGGATCTGCTGCTATAGACCTCCGTAAATATCTAATGTAACAGTCCTCTTTTTGGACCCTTGGTCCTGGTAATTTATTTATTTTACACGGGACGCCAAATGTTCTGTATTTCTTTTAATGTCCTGTATTTGTCCCGTATTCGGTGTTTCGCCTTAACAGCTCATTTAAATGGCATGCCTATGAACGAGTTGTAAGTGATGTTGGTATATGGTCGTAATTTTCTCCATATTTTCTAGTCTGAATGCCTGTGATTCCTATCGAGGAATACATACAATGACCAAAATAGCAATTAGGACTTGATATTTTACTAAGTTTTGGTTATTTTTCCCTAGTTTATGTAATGTTTGTTATTTATTTTATGAAAGTAAAGCTCTTTTCCTAACAAAAACCATATACTAATACCAAATTTCAAACTTTGTGCAAAAAAACTATAAAAATGAGTTCTGCAATGTTTCACCAAAATTTCAAACTTTTTAATTAGGATCTTGTATAATAAAATGCGAGTGGAAAGTGCTACTCAGTTGCTTCTGTTTCAAAAAATCGGTCGAACATACTTACTTTGCATGAAAAAAGGCGTCAACAAAAAAAAAAAATGCCAAAAATTAAATAATGGTACGCCATAGCGACTTAAAACAGCACTTTATTATACTATAATTTTACGATTTTCTTTTAAACAAATTTTACGGGGTAAAAATATCGAGAAAATTATCCTACAAAATTGTGATGTTACTAAAAGGATAATTTTTCAGAGCTAATACATCTAGAATCATTGAAGAAGGCATTGAGATCTGTAAACTGTTGTGGAAAAAATTTGCAAAAATATTTTTTGTTCCATATTCGGCTCTCATAAATATGGTCACCGTGAACATGTAGCGACACAGGTAGTTGTGAATAAAACGCTTGCGTCACTTACT